AGGGGCGCGACGGCGCAGGGACGGCGCATCTGCCTCGTCCTCCTCTCCTCATCGGGGGAGGGGAGATGCGCAAAAAACACCTCTGTTGCGTTGTGGCCGTTCAGGGTAGCCTTCGCGTTGCGCTTGGGCGTCTGCCCTTGTTCCCACCTCCGGGCCACGCCTAGCGCAGCTGGTGGCCCGCGCGCGACGCGCGACGCCGTGGGCCTCCTCTCCTCCTCGTGGGAGGGGAGATCTAGGAGGCAACTCCAGGGGGGTATTCGCCAGAACGGGTAAGGGATGTTGAGCCGAAGAAGGGGCCATAGAACTGGAGCAGGCCAGGTCAGGCCCGATGTCAAACTGTATTGAGCTGGATTGAGCTGGATTGTCCAGGATTCGGACGGGTGTCGGCTACGGATAAACCAGCGCCGATGCTGCATGTAACCTCGCAGGAGCTGCCTCGTGGCACCTCCCCATTCCCTCTCTCCTCCCCCTCCTCCTCCTCCTCCTCCTCCTCCTCCTCCTCCTCCTCCTCCTCCTCCTCCTCCTCCTCCTCCTCCTCCTCCTCCTCCCTCCTCTGGCTCCTCCTCCTCCTCCTCCTCCTCCTCCTCCTCCTCCTCCTCCTCCGGCTCCTCCTCCTCCTCCTCCTCCTCCTCCTCCTCCTCCTCCTCCTCGTCCTCCTCGGGGGAGGGGAGATACCCAGAAGACACCCATGCATCACCTCTGCGCCCGGCCGGGGCCGCCCCGGGCTTCGGAATGGTGTGCGCGCGCCCCTGCCCTGGCGAGGCCAGAAGGGTCTGCACGCTATCGCGGGGCCCACGATGGCCCTGGCTGGGCACGTGGGTAGTGCAGAGGTGCCGCCTGCGAAGGAGAAGGGCTGCGGATGCCATGACAATGGACACTCCAACAATCCTATCGTTGAATCAAAGATGTGTCTAAAACGTGAAGAAAAAACATGTTATAACACTGCTTCAAACATGTCTTCACAGATCTAAAACAAGTTTGAAACATCTTTTAGACATCTGGAAAGTATTTGGCAGCGCGCGTCCTCTCCATTCATCGACTTCCACAAGAGAAGGGGGGAGGACACGGCGGCGCAGGCAAGGGTGCCTGCTGCGGCTCGACCGCCGGTGCCCCTCCTCGCCCTCCACCAGCATCTTGTAGGACACGTCGAACAGGCAGTCGTCCTCGGACTCCAGGCCTCCTCCCCCGTCCCCGTTCCTGAAAAGATAGCTCCTCCCTGTCGCACACCCAGGTCCGTCCGGGCGGGGGGCCAGACAGTTCACCCGAGACTCTCTCGCTCTCATTTTCTCTCTCTGCCTCTCTCTCTCTCTCTCTTTCTCTCTCTCTCTCTCTCTCTCTCTCTCTCTCTCTCTCTACATATACATGCATACATACGTATACATGTATATATGTGTCTGTATATACATATATCTGTACATACAAATATAGAGACCTACACACACACAAACATACATACATACATACAGACAGACAGACAGACAGACAGACAGACAGACACAGACACAGACAGACAGACAGCCATACATACATAAATACATACATACATACAAACAAACATACACATACATACATACATACATACATACATACAGACAGACAGACAGACAGACAGACAGACAGACAGACAGACAGACATTCATACACACATACACACATACATACATGCATACATACATACATGCATACATACATACATACATACATACATGCATACATGCATGCATGCATGCATGCATACATACATACATACATACACCTATACACACAAGCACACATACATGCATGCATATATACATACATACATACATACATACATACATACATACAAACAAACAAACAAACAAACAAACAAACAAACACACAAACAAACAAATCTATATATACATGCAAGTATGCATACAAGCACAGAGACATACATACATACCTGCATACGCACATGTGTGCGTATTTATATATAACCATGTGTATGACTACACGTTTAGGTAACATATGTATGTGTGTACATGTGTAAGTATGTGATCCAGACGCTTGAAACTTGCAAAAGCTTCAAATATGAAGATGGGCTGTTTTCAAAATGAAGCCTTCGCCTTAGCGCTGCAAACGTTCGTCCTCAAAGTTCGTAACCACTTCAAAGGTGGAGAGGGTGTGTTCAGACAATGGTGCTTTCGCCTTAGCGCCACACACATTCGCCTCACAAGCTTGCCACCGATTCAGGAATGGAGCACAAGTCGTTTTCAAAATGGGGCCCTCGCCTGAGCGCCGCGCAAATTCGTCTTCAAAGTCCCTAATACGTTCAGAAATGGAGCACAGGTCGTTTTCAAAATGATATTTGTGGACGGCGGCTCTTTCTGAAATGATCCTGGCGAAGCACTCAACCATGTGCAATTATGAATACCGCGCTGTGGCACCGCATTTGGTGGAGTTCCCCACCGGGCCACGAAACCGCGTGAGGGGTGTGCCGAAATTGCCAGGGGCATTCGGTGGAGCCCCCTTTTGGGGCCGCGAAACTTGTGAGGGGTGTACCGAAGTGGGCGGGAACCGCAGGCGAACTTTGCCACTGGGGTTTTCGGTGGAACTCCCTATGGGACCACGAAACGTGTGAGGCGAATGCCGAAATGGGCGGGAGCAGCATGCGAGATTTGCAATTGGGGATATTGGTGGAGCTCCCCATTGGGCAACGAAGCGTGTGAGGCGTTTGCCGAAATAGGCAGAAAACACCATGCGAACTTTGCTATTGGGCCTTCGATGGAGCTTCCTATGGGGCAACAAAACGTATGAAAGGTGTGCCAAAATTTCCGGGAAACCGCAGGTAACCTTTGCCACCGGGGCGCTCGGTGGGGTTCCCTATGGGGCCGCGAAACGTGTGAGGGGTGTGCCAACATGGGCGGGGAATTTCATGCGAAATTCAACAGTGGGGCATTCGGTGGTGCCACGAAACGTGTGAGGGGTGTGGCGAAATGGGCGGGGAACCGCAAGCGAATTTTGCCACTAGGGTGTTCGGTGGAACTCCCTATGGGGCCACGAAACCGCGTGAGGGGTGTGCCGGCCGGGAAACCGCATGCGAACTTTTCCATTGGGGCCTCAGGTGGAATTCCCTGTGGGGCCGCGAAACGTGTGAAAGGTGTGCCGAAATTTCCGGGGAACCGCAGGCAACCTTTGCCACCGGGGCGTTCGGTGGGGTTCCCTATGGGGCCGCGAAACGTGTGAGGGGTGTGCCAACATGGGCGGGGAATTTCATGCGAAATTCAGTGGGGCATTCGGTGGTGCCACGAGACGTGTGAGGGGTGTGGCGAAATGGGCGGGGAACCGCAAGCGAATTTTGCCACTAGGGTTTTCGGTGGAACTCCCTATGGGGCCACGAAACCGCGTGAGGGGTGTGCCGGCCAGGAAACCGCATGCGAACTTTTCCATTGGGGCCTCAGGTGGAACTCCCTGTGGGGCCGCGAAAAGTGTGAAGGGTGTGCCAGAATGGGCGGGGAACTGCAGGCGAACTTTGCTACTGGAGTTTTTGGTGAAGTTCCCCGCGGGGCCACGAAAAGCATGAGGGGATGCAGACACGGACGGGGAACAGCACGCGAACTTTGCCACTGCGGCTTTGCAGGTGGAACCCCACATCGGGCCGCGAAACGCGTGAAACTCATGCCGACATAGGGGGGGAACTGGAGGCGAACTTTGCCGATGAGGCCTTCGGTGGAACTCCAATTGGGGCCACGAAACGTGCGAAGGGCGCGTTGCCGAAGTGAATATATGGAGGGCAGAGTCCGGGATGGGAGGAACGAAGGGAAGGAGGAGAGGAGTGGCGCGGGGTATTGTCTTTTCAAAACGAAGACCCAACACCACAAAAGGTTCTGGAATTACGCTACCGATGAACCCCACATACTGATTTCACCCTCTTGTTTTTCACGCAGCACGCGCGTGACATCCTGATTCGCGCACGTACACAGTGAAAGTTTATCGTTTTGTCATCCTACGCATCATTGCTTGAAACCCCCCTCCGCCCCTTCCCCCAGCGGGGCGGAATGCGAAATGGTCGCCGAGGGCCGTTCCCTGAAGCGGCCCAGACTGATCCTTTCCCCCTTCTCTCGTGCCGCCTTCCCCCTCCCCCCCCCCCTTCTCAGGGATCGGCCAATTTGTTTTTCTGGCTCTCTCCACGTCTCTCCCAACATATCTTCGACGGAGAGTTTCCGAGCTGCGCGCGCATGGAAATTGCAGGCAAACATACACCGTCGGCAGAGCGACACAGCGGATTACCCTTCGATGGGAAATCTCTGGGCCTCGGCTGGCATGACGGAAATGAAGTGGGCGGGCGCTGCGAACTCGGCAAAGGGCGGCCCAGGCCGCGCGAATTCGACGCGGCTGGACAGCGCTGCACTCGTCGGAAGAACTCCGGCGCCCAGTTCCGCCAGAGCAGCGCGGGCCTCTCAATTGGAGCCATCCAGAGCGCGCGCGGACCCCATGCACCACCATGGCCACTATAGAAGCGCACGGGCTCGCGCACTCCAAAGACCTCACCCCGCCGGCAAGATCCGCTGGCGTTCCAGAGCGACGCCTTCGATCTCCCGCGTCCCCTTGACCATGCGCCCATCGAACTTCTGGGGGGCTTTGAGTACCGATGGGGTGGGCCTTTCTGCAAGACCTCCCCTGGCGGCAGCCGAAGCAAGAGTAGATCGCCCACGCAAGTGGATCTGCTGAGCATCGCGTAGAGGTGCAGCCACCAGATCTCCGCTCTGTCCCCCAGTCTGCAAACGCTCGCGTCCTGCGCGCAGTCGATGGTTACCCTAGCGCGGATCGTCTGGCCCTGCGCAGCTGCGGGCGTCAGGAAGCGCCCGCGCGCGAGAGGATACCCATCCCCTTTAACTCCGTGTACTTCGTTGGCGTTATGCCACTCGAACTGCGCCTCCATGAGCTGGAAGCACAGAAGGTCGTTCGTCTTTTCTCGCTGGGCTCCGATAGAGTTGATGAGGGCGGCGGCCTAGTCTGGGCCCTGCTTCTGGAACTTGTGCACCAACATCCAGATGCTGACAGGCAACCTCAAGGGCGGGGCAAGCGCTGCGGAGGGAGACTCTGGGTCAGCGCACACGCTGCTGGCCTCGCGCACTTCGCCGGACCTTCGCTGGCGGACGGCCGTCGCATTCTCCATTCTCCTCCTCCGGCTGTTCTGAGAAGGCCTCCGGGGAGGGGGGCCCGCCCGACGCAGAGTTCCGCAGGTACGCCACCAGGCTCTGCCTCTTGCCGTCGTTGTTCATGTCGGAGTGCTTAGCGTAGAGCGTATCGGGCCACCAACTGTTAAGATGGGGCGGTACGCATTAAGTGCGGACAGCACCACTCCGTTTGCGCATCTGCGCGAATTCTCCACGCTGATCTGAATGATTGCGTTCTTCGACGCCAAACGCGGGGGTGGCCGGGCGTGAATGGGAATTTTGGGCGGCATGACTGCCACGCGCAGGTAATAAGGCGGCTGCCGCCCCCAAATGGGATTGCAGGAGCGCCTGCGTGATAGCGCACGCGTGCCAAGCCAGATTGAGCCAAGGTGTTTGCTGTTCTGGATAAAACACGAGCCCTCGCCCGCGCATCCCCCCGCCCAACGCACAGTCTTCTGGCATCAAAGAAGCGCCACGCCTGCCACACTTCGCGAGCCCGACACGGACAGCGACCGCACCCCCACAGAACCCCCTGCGCCGTCGAGGAAATGCCACGCCTGTAACACTTTGCGATAGAGAAACGGATAGCAAGCGCACCCCCAAAGCACCCCTTGTGGCGTCGAGAAAATACAACGCCGGCCACGCTCTACGAGCCTGAAACGGATAGCGACCGCACCCCCAAAGCACCTCCGTGGAGTCGAGGAAAAAACACGACTACCACACATGGCGAGCCCGAAACGGATAGCGACCGCACCCCCAAAGCATCCCCTGTGGAGTCGAGAAAGTGCCACGCCTGCCACGCTTTGCGAGCCCAAAACGGATAGCGACCGCACCCCCAACGCACCCCCAAGGCACCCCATGCAACGTCGAGAACGTACCACGCCTGCCACGCTTTGCGAGCCCGAAACTGATAGCGACCGCACCCCCAGTGCACCCCGTGGGGCGTCGAGAAACTGCCACGCCTGCCACCGAATCCGTCGCGTATGTGTTGCGCGGTTGTACGTGGACGTGTGTCGCATGTG